TACACGTATCAGCACCGTCGAAACTACAACCGCCGCCGCTCCCCGACCCCAGGTAGCTATTGTTTCTATCACTCCAGATTCGGTGCCCAAGCGCAGCGGTGTCAGCCCCCTTGCTCCTGGCCGGGAAACGGGCACCGCGGGAACTAATAGCGCCGGTCTCTCGCGGCCCCAGACGGCGCCTGTTCTACGTCCGTGACATTGACTCCCGCCTACGGTTTCTGGTAGACACAGAAGCAGAGGTCAGCCTTATCCCCGCATCACACAAGGACAGGACCTCGCCCGCCTCTCGCACATTAGAGGCCGCCAATTGCTCTCCCATCAACGTATACGGTGAGCGCTCCATGACACTCCTTTTCAGTGGCGCCCCCCATTCGAAGCTGACGTGGGTGTTCCTGGTCGCGGATGTACAGCAGCCAATCCTCGGAGCAGACTTTCTCGCGCATTACAAATTCTCGATGGACCTTAAATGAGAGTCTCTTGTACACCAGTCAGGAGCCTGCACCCCCGCCGCATCGGCCCTAGTACGTGTCCCCCGCATCTACACGGTGCTACCCAACCAATGTGCCTACAGAGCTCTACTTCGTGACTTTCCAGCGCTGACAAAACCCATCAACGTGGCAACATCACCGCCACACACTGTCACGCACCACATCGTCACGACTGGCCCACCGGTCCACTCCCGTTGTAGGCCCCTCGCACCAGATCGCTTCCGCATCGCTAAGGCAGAGTTTGAACACATGAGGGACCTTGGCATCATATGCCCTTCCAGCAGCCAGTGGGCATACCCCCTGCATCTAGTACGGAAAAAGGACGGCGATTGGCGCCCCTGCGGTGATTACCGCCATCTCAACACAGCCACCGCACCGGATCGCTACCCCCTCCCGCACCTCCACTCCTTCACACGTGAACTCTCTGGATACACAATCTTCTCGAAGATTGACCTCTTCAGAGCGTACCATCAGATCCCCATCGCCGTTCCAAAGACGGCTGTAATCACCCCCTTTGGCCTGTACGAATTCCTACGTATGCCGTTCGGCCTCCGCAATGCAGCCCAGACCTTCCAGCGCTTCATGGACGATGTCACCCGCGGACTACAAGGCGTCTTCGTCTACATCAACGACATACTCATCGCCAGCAGCAGTAGTGAGGAGCACAAGCAACACCTCTCCGCCCTGTTCGACCGCCTGCAGAAAGCCGGAATCGTCATCAACCCTGGTAAGAGTCTCTTCGGAGTTCCCTCTCTTACTTTCCTAGGTCACACAATGGAGATGCCTCTCTTCAGCTGGAGCAGGTGCAACTTCAGGACTCGCAGGACACCATCCTCTGCGACACCTCACAGAGGATGGTGTCCACGTCCTTACATTCTCCCTTCACTCCGCCGGCAGTTCTTTGAGGCTTACCATGCCCATCGGGGAATTCGCGCGACCCAGGATCTCCCCCGCAGCAAAGTTGTGTGGCCGGGCATCAGTAAAGATGTCCGGGAGTGGAGCCGCACCTGCATCGAGTGCCAGCACAGTAAGATTCACCGACACACTAAGGCTCCCCCACAGGTGTTCCTGGTACCAGACAGCCGCTTCGAACATGTACACCTGGATGTGGTCGGCCCTCTCCCAGCCGACCAGGGTTACAGCTACGTCCTGACGATGATCGACCGATTCACCAGGTGGCCCGAGGCCACCCCCATCCAGGACATCACCACCGCCACCATTGCCAAGACCTTCATCAGCACCTGGATATCGCGCTACGGAACTCCTTCGACGGTCACGACCGATCGCGGGTCTCAGTTCTAGTCCGAGCTCTGGAGGCAACTGATGATTTTTCTCGGCTCGAAGCGCATCCAGACCACGGCATACCACCCCAGTGCCAACGGCATGGTAGAGCGCCTACACTGCCACCTGAAGGAGATTCTCACAGCCTCATCCTCCACGCGCCAATGGGTGGACCAGTTGCCTTTGGCGCTCCTGAACATCCGGACCTCCTTCAAACAGGACCTTCAGCTGCACCGCAGCACCGCAGCTGAGATGGTCTCAGCCTTCCCTGTCGACTTCATAGTTAGCTCCGGAGTTCAGGACCCAGGAGCTTTCGGAAAGCAGCTTCACGACTGCATGGCCCGTATTCGCGCTCGTCCTACTTGACCTTCACGGCAGCGAGACATCTACTTACCACGCGACCTCCATGACTGCTCACACGTCTTCATCAGACGACCCACCAAGTCCCCCCTG